AATACCGATAAGTTTCGTTAACTCTATCCGTTTCCATCTCAGCGGTTTCACGCCCTCTTGAACTCTCTCTTCAAAGTTCTTTGCAACTTTCCCTCACGGTACTTGTTTGCTATCGGTCTCGTGGTCATATTTAGCCTTAGATGAGGTTTACCACCCTCTTTGGGCTGCAATCTCAAACAACCCGACTCCAAAGTATAACCTATCATAACTTTTTCTCACCCGTACAGGTCTAGCACCTTCTATGGACTGTAGCCCCGCTCAAGGGGACTTTGGGTGTAAAAATATGTTATGATTAGTTATACCTATACGCTACATTTCCATATAGCTAAAAAAATCTATTGGATTCAGCGTTGGGCTTTTTCCTTTTCACTCGCCGTTACTAAGGAAATCCTCGTTAGTTTCTTTTCCTCCGCTTAGTTATATGCTTAAATTCAGCGGGTAATCACGACTGAGTTGAGGTCAAAAAGTGATGATATTTATACAATATTTATCCTTTCTTCTCTATCATACGCGGCAATTGATAGATATTATTTCATCATTCATTATAGCAAGCATGCAATCAAGCAAGCAAGCAAGCAAATATCAGATGGATACGATGAAATAATTTCGATAATATTGTAAATGTTTATAATACGTATATATATATACACACGCATATATATATACTTCTTTCCCTTTACTTATCAGGGGATAGATAATTTTTAGGAATAGTAAAATTATCATTATCACCCGACGCAATAAGCAATATAATTTTTCATGTATTTCATTTCGTATATTATTACTATCATTATCATTAACTATCTATCAAAAAAAAAAAAAAAAAGAAAAGAAAATCATTATTTCCTCTCTTAATTCGCAATTCTCAATTGCGAAATTGAAATAATTATTCTTCCTTCTTTTTTCTTTTTTTTTTCAATATAATAATAATAATAAATAATATATGTAAATGTATAAAATACATTGAAATTATCTTGCTGTTGTTGTCGTTGTTTTATTCATTGACCCTCAACCAGACGTACCATCGGGAATCAACCCGATGGTGCAATGTGCATTCGAAATCTTTGTGCTCAATGCGTCTGCAATTCGCACTATTTATCACAGCTAGCTGCGTTCTTCATCGATCCACGAGCCAAGTGATCCACCGCTAAGAGTTTATATTATTTTGAAAAAATATTTTTGCAAAAATTTCATATACATATGTCTGTATGTGTGTGTGTGTGTATTTATTTGTTGGTAGCATAACTAGCATAAATGCTTATTAAGTCTACTTAATTAATTAAGCGTTAATTAATTAAGCTATCGCTTTATCTTCATTGTTATCGACGGTCAAGCGATAACTTGGATAAAGTATAGACACCAACGATTATCACCGTTTAAAATTCATTTATCATCATCATCAATCACATAAAATTATCATCGTCACAATCATCATCTCTGTAAGCAAGCTCATCATCATTATCATCGTTTAATTCATTTATTTCACATACAATGAATTCTCGCTATTATTATCATTGTTTGCTATTTTTTAGCAATTAAAATAGTAAACAATAATTTTTTTTTTTTTACGATGATAAAATAATGATAATAATTGATGACGATTGAATTGACTTGAGATTGATGTGTGATAAAAAAAAAAAAATATGATGATGTGATTTTTCTACCAACATCATCATTTGTTGTTGTTGTTGTTTAGAAGCTCGATAATGATCCTTCCGCAGGTTCACCTACGGAAACCTTGTTACGACTTTTGCCCGGTTCAAGCCACTGCGATTAAAGCGATTTCCACCAAAGAATCTCCACCCCGAAAGGTATCAAAACAGCAGTCTCCGCTTTTCTCGAAACGGCTCAGTCCCGGGCAGCGACGGGCGGTGTGTACAAAGGGCAGGGACGTAATCAACGTGAGCTGATGACTCACACTTACTA